CCGCACCTGCCACCATGCCTGGCTGATTTTTTGTATTTTTAGTAGAGATGGGGTTTCACTATGTTGGCCAGGCTGGTCTTGAACTCCTGACCTTGTGATCCACCCACCTTGGCCTCCCAAAGTGCTGGGATTAGAGGTGTGAGCCACCACACCTGGCCTTTTTTTTTTTTTTTTGTATTTTTAGTAGAGATGAGCTTTTGCTATGTTGCCCAGGCTAGTCTCAAACTCCTAGCCTCAAGTGATCTGTCTACCTTGGCCTCCCAGAATGGTAGGATTACAGGTGCAAGCCACTATGTCTGACCTCAGTTTTTCATTTTTAAAAGGTGATAAGTAATCAACAAACATAATAGAGATTAATCAATAAAAAATAATTATGTATAAGAATACATATGTGATCATATATAATAATTATGTTTATGTTCAACCATTGAGGTTGCTCCTAGCCAGTAAAGTCTGCTGGGGCCTTGGTGCTCCCTAATTCAAACTCATGGTCAGGATTTGAGCAGTGTTTTCTGAATGCCCACTCCACGGTACTTGTCCCAATATCAGCAGCTGTGCACCGGCTGGAAGAAATACCAAGCATATTATATTCTCTTGGTTATCCATCTTGCTAAAACTCTAATTTTTATTTCATCTCAAGTACTTACTATCCTAAGCTTCTGAGATACTCTATTCTGTCTCTATAAAATGCAAATATTAATATAAAATCACTGTTTAAAAAAGTGCTAAAGGCTAAGTTTCTCAAATATTTTTGGTAGGAGACAAATTTACTTGATGTCAGCATATATTTATATAAGAAATGAACAGGAGAAAAGACAGTTAAGCTGTTATTGAGAAAGGTTATTAACCTGTCTAAATGGTGAGTATTGGGACAAGTAGTATTGATTTGAAAGAATCAATGAATATCATTTCAATCTAAAATAAGTGACAACCCATATGACTAACAGACATTATGATTTTTACTAGCTCTCCAAATAATCATTAGCTATTAGTGTTTTTTCTTCTGTAACGAGACTGGTATACATATTTTTAGTATTGCTAGAGAGGAATTACTAAAAATCAGTAAACTCCTGTTTTTTTTTTTTTCCAATAACAGGACAGACACCAAAGAAAAATGGCCAGTGGTGTTTTTGCATCTTAATTCAGCTCTTCAGATGGTTAGTTAATCTACAATGACTTCAGGGTCACTAGATCCCTTAAATCAGTATCTTAGATTTTAGTTTTTCTTCTCTCTGTTCTCTAATCTACTCGGTTATCAAATTCTTCAATAAAGGGCAAGAGTAATGATTTTAGCATGCCCTAAGACATGAATTTAGATTAAAAATACAGAGATGAGATGGTGAAGTAACTAGAAACTTGCAGCTGTTCTTTCTTTAACCTATTTGACACCAACTCAGTTGAGGTGATGAGAAAACAGTATGGGTGCTAAGTCTTCCCTGAGGCTAAAATATATTGAGAAGCTGGCCGGAGTTGTGTGTTGATCTCTTGTCCTCTGCCTCAGGGGACATGGAAACTTGTTGGGATAGAGGAACTGTGGACTAGCTTGGTCTTCAGTGTTACTGTGGAAACATATCACAAGAAGATGCCCAAGAGAACACAAAACACAGTAGAAGTTACTGAAGCAACAACTCAAAGGTTCATTTTATTGGGCATGTAATGTGTGGCAGCTGAGAGAGTTACAGTGGGGTGATATTTAAAGTATTTGACAACCAGTTCCACTCAAGAACTGAACCAACAACAGTCGCTGAGTGTGACACTGGCCCGGGGTCCTGAAGATCCCTCCTGTGCCATGAATTAGTCCTTTCGTTACGTCGCTGCTGGAAAAGGTGGGAGTAACAAGGACGGGCAGCCAGGCTGGCAGGTGCACCCTGAAGGCCGTATAGGAGCGTTTCACTGTTTTAACCGCTAGTCGAGCTGGACCGCATGGACTGGCCAAGTGGCCCGGCTTATGGAAACCTTTCATCCCACTACACAGGAATACCAGATGTCCTTTCTTCTCTTTGAGATATTTACTGTGCCAAACTCTGAGGGAAAAATAATCTTAATTTATAGGTGGAAAGATCATGGCTGAAGGTAAAAGAGTTAATAGTAACTTGGTTTTCAGAAATCTTTTCTCCTTGAATTAATGAACTTTCAGATCACGGAACGAAGGCCCACAATTTCTGAGAAGACACATATTTAAATGGAGAAAATAGGAAGTCAATATGATATACACCGACAAAAGCCACTATGTGGGTCCTCTGGGCTAAGCTTTTTATAGGTGGTTTATCTGTATTCAAAAGCATGAATATAAAAATATCCTTATCTAGGTTCTCAGGTCCACAACCCCTGTGCTGGGTTTTGCATCCTGTGAATGGTGTGTGTTCCAGACCTCAGAATGGATGGTGATGTAACTGGAAGAGGACTCTCATGTTGGCTCCTCCTCCCAAATGCTGGGACAAGACAGTGCCCATTAAAATAAACAACAATAATAAAAAAAAAATAAAAACACATACCTTTATTTCACACACTGGCTCTTAGGGTCAGAAATTCAGGGGCAGCTTAGTTGGGTGGTCCTGGCTTGAGATCTCTCATGAGGCAGCCATTAACATGTTGGTTGGGGCTGCAGTTATCTGAAGGCTTGACTGGGGCCATTGTGTCTGCTCCCAAGATGGCTCACACACGTGGCTCTTGGTCTGAGGTCTCAGTTCCTCACTATGTGAACCTCTCTTCATCCATAGCAGCTGACCTCTCTCAGAGCAAATGACTGAGCAGACACTAACAAAGTTGGAAGCCATAATATCTTTTATGGAGAGCATTCATCTTATGTGTCACCAGGATTAGTTAGCCCTTTATCTCAGGCTGTGTATTAGACACACACACACCACACACCACACATACATACACCCCATAGAACACGATAAAGCTGAAAGAAGAAAATGATTAACATAAACCTTTCTTCTTCAAAGGAGTCTAATTTAGGATAAGACCTCTCCTTGCACAAAGAACGGAGTTTATGTTGTCTTCTAGAAAGAAAAATCAGTCACATCAAACTCTTTACATTAAAATTATATAAACTCTTTAAATGGCTTGTTTTTAAAAAGGCAAAGGAAATCCTACTTTCATAATCCCACTATTTAAGGTTTATTATGCTTCTAGCTATTCAACCCACATCTCCTGCTAAGTAGACACATCTGCAGGGCACACCTGGAGCTTTTGGTCATGTTCCTACATACAGGCAAATGGGATTTGAACTCTAATGAGAGCTGGGAGGCTAAGGCAGCCTCCACCAACTATTCACCTTCCTTCAACAAGTCCCTGATGGTGGTAGGGCCACCTTAACCTTGTGCAACAGGATCCAGGGCTCTCTGGGCAAACACCAGTTTCCCTGGGCCTTGGGACCTGCCAGTGATGCAGGTGGGGTTCGGGAACCCTGTGGAATATGAGGCAGCATACTGCATTTGGGGAGCTTTTCACCTGCTTGTTTTCTCTCTCCCTTCCTTCCTTCCTTCCTTCCTTCCTTTTCTTTCTTTCTTTCTTTCTTTCTTTCTTTCTTTCTTTCTTTCTTTCTTTCTTTCTTTCTTTCTTTCTTTCTTTCTTTCTTTCTTTCTCTTTCTTTCTTTCTTTCTTTCTTTCTTTCTTTCTTGCCTTTCTCTTTCTCTCTTTCTTTCTTTCTTTTCCTTTCTTTCTTGCCTTTCTCTCTTTCCTTCTCTTTCTTTCTTTCCTCTTTCTTTCTTTCTTGCCTTTCTCTCTTTCTCTTTCTTTCTTTCTCTCTTTCTCTCTTTCTTTCTTTCTTTCTTTTCCTCTTTCTTTCTTTCCTTCTCTCTCCTTCCTTCCTTCCTTCCTTCCTTCCTTCCTTCCTTCCTTCCCTCCTCTTTCTTTCTCTCTCTCTCTCTTTCTTTTTTTTTTTGACAAAGTTTAGCTCTTGTCGCCCAGGCTGGAGCTCAATGGCATGATCTTGGCTCACTGCAACCTCCACCTCCCAGGTTCAAGTGATTCGCCCTCCTCAGCCTCCTGAGTAGCTGGAATTACAGGCACCTGCCACCACACCTGGCTAATTGTTGTATTTTTAGTAGAGACAGGGTTTCTCCACGTTGGCCAGGCTGGTCTCAAATTCCTGACGTCAGGTGATCACCTATCTCGGCCTCCCAAAGTGCTGGGATTAGAGGCATGAGCCACCCCACTGGGCCTATCTGCTGCTTATCTCTACAGGGCAGAATGCCTTCTTCCATCTCACGTCAACAAAACAGAACAATAAACAGATCACTGAATGTATATTCAAGGTTTGTTGTCACAGCAGTAGATTAAGGAGAATAGGAAAAAACAAACAAGTTGTTTGTTTCTCTTTGGATAAAATGACAATGAAAAAATAAATGATGGATTTCTGAAAGTAATTATCCTACGATGATACCACAGGCAGCCCTTGTAATTGCTTTGCCACATTCAATTTCTCGCTGCTGTTTGGGGACCACTCAGTTTGTTAGGATAAAATCATAATTGTATTTTCAATTTGCTGCTCTATCTATCCCACTGTCAGGATTTGATACACTGGAGTGCTGTTATCAAATGGAAGTTGGCCAGAGAGAATTCATCACAAGGATGGCTCTTTCATACTCATGCATGTGTCCATCAGTGGAGTCCAGGTGTGCACACACGGATTCATTTGTACCCACCCCAACAACATGCTCAAGACAAGGCTGATGGAAAATGCTGCCAATTTCCGTTTCCAGCAACATGCTCAAGACAAGGTCGATGGAGAATGTTGCCAATTTCAGTTTCTACAGGGAGAAATGGAGCCATTAAGCCTTTGGAACATGGTGATTTTATGTCTGAACATGAAGCTCAAGATTTTGGCATCTGCATCTCCTGGTTCTAACTTTCCTTTGCAAGCCCAGAGAACTAACTGCCCTTTGTCATCAGAAGAGATCGTTTCACTCCTTTATTTCTTGAGGCCTTTTCAAGGTGAGTATCCCTGGACACAGACCTGTCATGGAGAAGAGCTTGCTTACAAATGAAGTTACCTGGGTCTTTGTAGATACTGAGCACGCCCTTGAAGTAATGAGGTAAAAATCTTTCCAGTAACAGCAGCACATCTTCCAACTCTTCAAGAATCCCCACGAGCAGGAAGTTTTCATTCACGTTCAGCTTTGCTCTCTCAAGGGCCCATTCACCAGGCTCCCTTTATGGATACAAAAATTTATTGAAAATCAGAGATTCGTATTTGAAATTCAGCAACAAGATGCTGAAAGTTTACTCCCTCTACCTCCCACCTTCACTTGCATAAGTCCAACTCCTGTTTCCCTCAAGGACCAGCCCAGATGTAGCCCCATCCAGAGCCTTCTCAGTCCTTCCAGCTGGTGTCCTGCCCTGCTCACCGTTCCTTCTCTGTCACTTTCATCCGTGCTTCACGCCAAGCCCAGGGCCTTGAATTCAGAGGCCCTGCTTAAGTAGTGTGGACTAATGAAAGCAGGCACAGGCAGTCAGATCCTAACAACTACTAATCAAGGGGTGAGTACAACGGCTTTTATAGGAGGACCAAAGTGAACCAATTAAATGAATTTAGAAGTTTTGAAATACAAAACTGACTGACATAGTATTTATGTAGAATTCAAAAGAGGTGTCAGGTCATGTCTGTTAATCATCTTATTCTTTGGAAGAGTTAAAGATAAATCTTTGGATTTTTGTTTTGTTTTATTTTGTTTGTTTAGATTGCAGAAGGAAAACAGCCTAATCTGATTTGTAGACCAGCTCTCTGAACTGACAGGAGAGTGAGAAAAGCCCGGGAGTGGGGCTCCAGGCCTGGCTGTCATTTATCATTTGGGGGAATTGGGCAAGCCAGGGTTCTCTTTTGAAAAATGATAATAATAACCCTTACCTAGTTCAAAGCATTGTTGTAAAGACTGTGCAAGGTGATATGATAAAAGAGTTATAAAAATCATTGTGTGTGTGTCAAGGTATGGTGTTATGAGTCACCTCTCCAAGATTAGAAAATTGAAAAATCTGAAAAATACTACACGATTTAAAAAATACTTTAGGGAGTTCAAATCATGTTGCCTGTTATAAAGATATTCACTGTGATCAGCAAGTGAGTCATCCAGCCCCAGATCTTCCCAATACCTGAAGTACTAAATGTTAACCAGGAGGTATTTGTTATTGAGGCAAGGGTTGGGGCAGGGGAGAGGCCACCTGGACTCAGGGGGCTTATGGTGAAGTCAAAAACTAACACTCCTGGTTCTGTAATTTGGACCATAAGCAAACTCTTTTGTTATGGCAAATGAAACAAGACAGGAATAACAACAATATGCCTAATAACAAAGCAGAAATCATAGCATAAGCAAAAAAGTACAACGAATGCATTGCCAGTGTAGAAGTAGCAGTTCTTATCTGGCCTTTTCAGAAACACAAGGACCCTCTAGTTAATGTTTCCTTTGGGGAATAATGTCACTTCTGGTAGCACATTGATTTTCTACCAAGCAAAGATAATGCTTCATTGTTGCTGCCATTTCTTCTCCAGGCTACCACATTTGTCTAGCACAGTAGATTTCAACTATAACTACACCAGAAGCATCTGGGGAGGCAGCTACACATGAGACTATGATTGGGTGGGGGTTCTTAACAAGTATGCAGGGGTGCTGATGCAGGACCTGGGCAGATCACACCCTGGGGGTCCTGACTATCTGAGTAAGTCACTTTCTAAAGAAGGTCTTGCCTTCAAGTAAGGTTGACAGGTGATCACTATAAAACACTTTCTCCTCTGCCTACTAAGTGTATCCACCATGGGATTGTGGGTGTGGGCTTCCAGTGTCTCAGACTCAATGACACATGCCACGAGGGCAGGTTGTTGGTTAAGTCAGTCACTGTAGAGGAGCAGGCTGGGTGTTTGTTCCTGGTCTTCACGATCGCATTTTATGTGACATTTTGTCATTTTATCCAAAGAGAAAGACAACATGGGTTGAGTAGTGACAAGTATGTTTTAGGTATAAACAAGGGTTTGGTTCCAGTTACAAAGCTTTATATGGTGGTCTTCTGAGGCCTCTGCAGACGCTGATTTTTAAATTTCATTACTTATAGGACATTTGGAGTCTCACACATTATCTTGAAAGATTAACAGTAAACAGGAACTGAATTCCAGAAGGTTGAGAGACTAGGGATACCAAAGATTCCCACCAAGTGCCAGGCTGGTGGGGTTCTTTCCCTTGTGCACACGTGCATGCCACGAGCCTGCTGTAGCCCTTACCTGCATCTGGGATGTTGTCCACAAAAGTACGGAATGATGTAAAATAACCTGGGGTTGGAACACTCGGGATAGTTTTCAAGAATACACTCATTGATATCCTAGAAGAGAAAACACAGCAGTCAGATGTCTTGTAGTCTCTGCAAGGCTCTATCAAATGCCGCACAGTTTAAGTAAAATTCGTGATTGAATTACACGGGCACACCTTGAGAAGATGAAGAGAATTCATAGATTTCAGGAGAAAACTTCTTTTTTGCCTCCCAGCATCCTGCTCCACTGGCCAGGCACACACAGGGCTGGGCCATTTTAGAGAGTGCATGCTTTGTTGGGTAAACGGCATCTCTGCATTTCCTGGTGGCTCCAAGTCTTAAGCTTGGTCACAGGCCTTGGGAGAGCATTTGTAACCACTGTGCTTTGTGGTGGCCCCAGCAGTTGCTAGCCAATTTGTAGGTATACAGTTGGCAATTAATAAATGTTTGTTGCATGAATTTAGTGTTTCTCTGTGTATCCATGCATCCAACAATTAAGTACCTACAACAGTCTCATAAGGGTTGGTAAATTTTAGAGGGGCTGTAAAATCACTTCTAACATTATATTAACTTAAAAAGTAGCAGGATGTTTATATGCAGACACCTTCTCACTTTCAAAGGCAACAGTTGTGATTTCCAGGTTTTCCATTTCTCTTATATGAAGTTGGATATGGTCTTTCTGAGGGCATTACAAGTTGAAATGGCTTGGTGGGGGTAAGGAGAAGGGCTCAAAACCAACTTTTATCAAGGTAGATTACATCAGACATTCTAAATAAGGCATGCTTGGTTCTCAGGTATTTCTAAGGAGAAAAGATAACTCAATCTACAAATAAACCAAACAGCTGTAGGATGTTTTTCCAGAGACAATATTGGCAAAGCAGATTAAGAGTGGATATAATTCCCAAACACGGTTGATGAAATTTATGAGTCGGTAGAAGCTACTGTATCTGATATACCGGTGTAGGTGTAGGTGTGTAGGTGTGGGTGTTTAGCTAGTAACAGTTTTTTAGTTCAAGTTGGGAATGAGAGAAATATAATTTACACTTTTTCTTAAAAACAATAATCCCCTCATACTTCTTCAGTTTACATACCAATTAAATAAATTACACAATTACAATAACAAATTCAATGGAAATAAACAGAATCTGCAAAAAACACAATTGAGAGTACTCAAGCACTTGAGTTTACCATGAGAAGTGGAGGTGCAGGTTCCAGAGAGGAACATATGAGAAGCGAATGGGGGAGCGCATCAGTCCATCAGCCACGTGGTGAAGGTGATTAAGAGCATCTCATTGTGTATGAAAACTCATTAAAATGCGAGACACTAGACCTGAAATACCTTTCTAAGAAGAGTTTGACACTGAAAGATGTATGTGTATGTGTATATATACATATTACATATATTCATAGCTGCTATGAATTTATTAATTACAACAAAATATGGCAGAACTTACATGTTCATGGATGGGGGATTGGTTTTAAGAGAAATTATGGTACATTCACACACTGAAATACCAGACACCTGAAAAGAATGAGGAGGATCTGTGTGTGCTATCCTGAAAAGTCCTGGATAAATTTTCAAGTGAATAAAAGTAGACTACAGGATAATATGAACATGTAGGACAATATAAAAATCAACATGTTTACATAAACACAAAAGGATCTGGAAGGAGACACAGCACACAATTGAAAGCAGTTATTTCTGGTGATTGGCATAAAGGAAGATGAGAATACCGTCAATTTTTCCTTTATTCCTTTTTTGAAGTGTTAGTTTTTATTACAATGAATGCATCTTACATTTATCGTGAGAAAACTGTACGGAGATTTACACACTGTAAAACAAACCAAAGCTTGTGTGGGCGGGTGCCTGAGCACTGCCTTGAGGATGCTCTGAGCCCCCTGCCCTCCTCACATTTGAGGGTGTCCTCTGGTAGCTGGCCTCCCCCTGGAGCCTGAGCCTTTAGTCCGAGGGACCCAGTAACCCTGGTGGCCTCTCTCTGCAGCAGTGGCAACAGGGAGGGGGCCAGGAGCTGGGTGAGAAGCAGAGCCTAGGGTGATTCTGACCAGAGCAGAGTTCATCTGCTGAGGTTGAGATTTCACAAAGAAGGACAGAGTAAAGCGATGGGGGACATCCAAAGAACTGTCACATATGCAGTCAGCCCCCAGAGTCCTGCAGTAACAGGAGGAGCAGGGCACCAGAGACCGCCAGAGCCTCCTACAGAGGCTCTCATGGCACCTGCTGCTTCTCCAGAGCTGCCCTTGAGCTAGTACTTGTGCGCTTATTTGTTTAGGTGTAGGTCCCTCAACACAGACTGTTCACTGCATCTCCAGTGCTCAGCACCCTGCCTGGACAAAGCAGGAGTGCAATAGATACTGAATGAGTGAGTGAATAAATGGCAGAAGGAGAGAGACAAGACACACAGCTCCAGAGCAAGAAAGGAAGCAGACACCTCTTCCATTTGCTGAGCCTGCCAGGGTTTTGTCCTCAGCAACCCCAGGCTCGCAGGAGTAGACAGAGGGCATCAGCTGGTTGGTGAGGGGAAGGCGGAGGAGGCACCGGGACCTAAGAAGGCCACTTCCCTATTGGAATCCACAAATAACCTCACAAGGTCAATTTATGGGAAGACATAAATTCCTAGTTTTAAAAGTGCAGTTAAGAATTCTTTTCTTAGACCAAGGCACATGCTGGGGGATTTCAAAGAGTTCCATTTGAGCCCATTAGGTTGACGAATGGCGTTCATCACAACCCATCTATGGCAATGCTATAGGAGGATATAAATAAAGATGACTGGACCGGAAGATCCAGAGGAAGCAGAAATGAGCTGAGAAGCCCCAGGCATCGAGCTGCCAACTGCTTGGCCACAACCACAGTAAGCAGGGATGCTGCTGTTTGGCAGCTTGAGGACCAGGGACCTGCAGGAAACTGCTCCTGGCACCTCCTACTCAGTCCACTCTTAGCAGAACCAAGACCTTTAGTGAGCAACATTTGAGCCTCCTGGGAAACGAAATGAGACCAATGGCTGCACTTCCACTGGGCTGTTCTGACGGATGCCTTTCAGTCTTCTGGGACCATTTGGTTGCCCTGGTGTTCATGATTTATCTTTGGTCCAAGATTTACTATCCTGCATTGTTTTATAATCACCTTTTAATACCAAAGTTCTCTCAGCACATATATTTTCTAAATGATTATGCAACTTTATTTTTTCCTTCCATGTAGTGCTTCTAGGGTAAGATTGTTTTTTTAAAAAAAAAAGAAAAAAATATTTAATATGGATTTCAAACTTTTCTCTAAGATTGTCACCACACTGATGACTTTGGCCAAGCCAGCTTGCTTGCCAGCACTTGATCTGTGACTTGCTCCTCTGGTTCCTGAGTCTTGGCACACACCATGGGCACCCCTGTAGTGCCCTTCCCTGCCAAGCCTAGCCCTTTGGGTCTTAACGTAAGACCCCACGCTACTCAAGATTTTGCATTATTAGGGAAATGAGATCGTCTCTCTGAGTAAGCATTCCAGATAACTATGAGAATCTTTTTCATTGCCAACACTGTACAAAAATTAATCCATTTGTGTTGCAATGCATTCTAAACTGTACTATTTTAAAAACCATATGCTTTCCTCCCTCTAGATTTTTTTTTGGGTTCGTCTTCTTCCATTCTGATCTTACAGCAAAATCATCTTTTATCCACTTGCTCCTGTAATGTTTCCACCAGATGGATGGTGATGGGTGACCCTCATCTTCTGAGTCCAAAGGGCTGGCTGGTCTCAGAGCAAACCCCAGTCATTGCCTCCAGTTCCAGGGAGTCCTTCCTGAGGCCTCTCTCACCCTCACTCCCACAGCCCCTCTTCACCCCCACAGGATGATGACAGTAGCTTCCCAGCCAGCAGCTCTTCCTTCCACCTCTCCTCTCTGAGTGCAGCCTCCAGAGTTGCCCCAGTCTGCACGTCCTTGCTCTCCTTGGAGGACTCTTATTGACAATGGAACAGGGATAAAAATCAGGGCACCTGATACACACTGTGAATTCCCTGGCCAGACTCCCAGGGCATTCGAAATGCAGGGCCAGGAATGTGCATTTGAAAGAACCTCTGGCGACTCTGAGAGGATGGTCACTCTTCATGAGCTGTCTATGTATTAGGTAATTCATTCCATGCCTTTGCCCTTCCTCTCCCTTGCCACCTCCCTCCTCACCTAGTCTCAATAGCAGGCTCAGGGTTCTGGCGGGGAGAGTTAACATACTCCAGTCCAGCTGGGCTAGTGCTCACTTGGGTCCAGGAAAAGGAGACAGATGTGACCATGGGCTTCCTTCCATGCTGACCATTCACTGCCAGCCACATCTGGCAGATAGGGTCCCTGGGACAGGGCTCAGGTGCCACATCGCATACTCTCTTCACTGTTGGCTGGAACCCAAATGTCTCCAGGAGTGGGGTCTGTCTGGGACCTCATCCATCAGCTGGGACCTGGCACTCTAACCTAGTTCTAGTCCTCAGGCTAGATCTGCTCCCAACATTCCCTGCCAGTGGCCAGGATTCTTTTAGAAGTGGACAGACTTCCTCATGGTGCCCATGAAAGGAGTTCCAAGCTGGCCCGAGTGCTCCTGGCATCTTGAAATAACCTTCTCACCCACCTTGCAGGGGCTCCTCTGTGCATCGACACTTGCTTCACCCACATGAGGGCTCACTCTAGAGATCAGATGCTGAGCTGGAGGCCTGGACACCTCCTACTCCCTCCCTGTCAGCGAATTTTCACAGCCCTGACTCCTTCTCCTCACTCTGCACTGCCAGGCCCACAGGCCTCTCGTCTGCTTCTGCCCGAGACATAAAACTGCTCATTTATTTCTCTGTAGCTCAAGAACCAGACAACTGCTTCCTTTCTTGGATTTCTAGTTTTAATTTTAGAAAGGGTGGAAGGAAGAAAATCCCAGGTGGAGTTAATTTTATCACAAAAGGTGAACTTAGAGACGATTCATATTTTACTTATCCTTATATAAGACAGCACCTTCTCTGAAAGCCACTGAACTGAAAAAATACTTACTGGTGTTTTTACACAGCTCCATGCTTGAAACGTGGATCAGTT